AACATTTAAAAAAAGGCCAGAGTCAACAAGGAGATTCAAACCTTTCATGCTGTAAGATTACTAAACTTCTGCACCATCCTCTACTGTGATTTCACTGAACAAAAACCTTAAACCATAAAAAATCAGTCGCAACTATTGAGCATTTACATTTAAGTGCCTTATAACAGAATGTAAACAGATGATAAAACTGAAATTATGTTTCTTTCCCGAACACTTCTTTGTCATTGTTATTTCAAAGAGTGTTTTGAGGTCTATTAAGTGAATCACACAACATGTTGATGTGCTTTTACAAATCTGGTCTTTTCTCTGCTGTTGATTTCAAAAAAAACTTTCAAAAACCTGTCACTTTTTATTATCTTTCACTTCAATCTCTTTGAACTAGGAGCTAAATGAGGAGCTATTTGTAGCTGATATAATAAGGAGTTTCAGAAATTTCAGACAACTTGTACAAGTATTCTAGCATTGCTATGGATAGAAATTTCCTACCCAACCTAGCACCACTGATGGTGGGCCGTGAGGTCAGTTTCACGGTCATTAATATGTTAGTGACCACTGACCATTGATCAGTGACCATTGATCAATGGCCATGGGTGCCATTGACAGAGAGGATGCAGTCACTGCATTGGGAGATGGTGAAAGATGTACCCTTTGGCCCCCTCTGCGATTCAGAGATGGTCTTTCCCTTTTCATATAAATGGCCTCAACCAGCATCCCTCCCTGTCAATGATGTGTGCATCCTCGTCACTGAAAGAGCAGTCACAGAGTTAGATCTTCTGTGGTTTGATGTGACGCCTTCATATTATTTATCAGAGTAATTTGTCGTTGTTTGAATCAAAAGACTCTTCAGAGTCCTCTGTCAGCTTAAGCAGAGTTTATTCGCGTGGCAGTGGTCAATGGAATTAGATAGTTAATGGATAAAGGCTTTTCATGCATCTCATACTGGACTTTCGTATGGTCTTCACATTTTTGTATTTTCTGTTTAAACTTATTCTGTAACACAATAAGTTTTTAGTATTTCATATCTTATAATATGGTATTTGAGCACATCTTCACGTGACTGAAGTGATTGCTGCAACACTGAAATTCTGTTTTGTGAATAACAAAGACAGGTTTGACAATATAACATCTACAATGTAACAGTAGGTTTTGTAGAGAAGTAAAAGAACTTAATGTTTTTTGTCCTCTGTTTACAGCGCTGCTGTATGCCACCATTTTTGGTAACGTCACCACCATCTTCCAGCAGATGTATGCCAACACCAACAGGTACCATGAGATGCTCAACAGTGTGAGAGACTTCCTCAAGCTCTACCAGGTCCCCAAAGGCCTGAGTGAGCGTGTGATGGACTACATTGTGTCCACCTGGTCCATGTCAAGAGGCATTGATACGGACAAGGTAAAAATTCAGTCCAAATCATTGTGTTATGGGAAGTGAAACAGCTGGTTGTGGTTGTATTTTTATTTATTATGAATTTTTGCTTCTATACAGTTATAGCTACAGTTTTATCAGTGGCATCACTGCCCAACCAAACTGAAACCAGAATTCTTAAAGTTTTAAGTTAGTTTTGAAAAAATGGAACCATTCATACTCTTCTGCACAAATAAATCACAATATATTTCCATGAAGAGAACTATGAAAACTGCAACCACTAAATACCTGCAAAGAGTAAGGCAAGTCCTGAGCAGTCAGCTGAATGGAATGAACAAGATCTGGGCAATCGACACTTATGCCCCACTGGCCACTGGATACCTGGCTGGAATAATAATATGGCCAAAGGAGGACATAGAATTCAATTCAATTCAATTCAATTCAATTTTATTTATATAGCGCCAAATCACAACAAAGGTCGCCTCAAGGCGCTTCATAGATACAGAGAAAAACCCAACAATCATATGACCCCCTATGAGCAAGCACTTTGGCGACAGTGGGAAGGAAGAAACCTCCGGCAGAACCAGGCTCAGGGAGGGGCGGGGCCATCTGCTGCGACCGGTTGGGGTGAGAGAAGGAAGACAGGATAAACATAGAAGCCACTGACATCAAGACAATGAAGTTCATTACCATGCATGGAGGGTATAAACCCTAAATCGAGCATATTGAGACTGTATGCTAAAGAGAAGGAAGGAGGCCAAGAACTAGTTAGTGTCTTTGTTGTCCAGGATGAAACAACAAAGATCCATGAATACATCAGGAAGGTGCCTCAGCCAATCCTGTACTTAGTCAATACTTCAGGCAGTCATGACCAAAAGGTTTGGCAGTGGAACAATGTTTATTCCATGTGCAACTTCAGTTTTTATTGATATTAATTTTTAAATGATGATACAGTGAAAAACAATCACAAGGATTTCATAAGTTTCAAAAATTGAATATTGGCAAATAAAAGTTGCTGGTGAACTGCTGGTGAACAGTAAGTAGAATGTAGTTCATCAGCATGGAAATGAAGCATAAAAAGGGCAGCATCATTATGTCTGCATTAACTGTATTTCTGTTTTCACGTCAGCTTAGGATATCCTGAATATAACTACTGAAACCAGAATTCTTAAAGTTTTAAGTTAGTTTTGAAAAAATGGAACCATTCATACTCTTCTGCACAAATAAATCACAATATATTTTCGTGAAGAGGCCGCTACGAAAACTGCAACCACTAAATATGAGATGGCATTTTAGCAATGATCATTATTTATCTGGCTCTATGTGACGTCACCTTGGTCTAACTCTGTTTGCAGGTGCTGCAGATTTGTCCAAAGGACATGCGAGCAGACATCTGTGTCCACCTCAACAGGAAGGTGTTTAAGGAACACCCGGCATTTCGCCTGGCCAGTGATGGCTGCCTGCGGGCTCTGGCCATGGAGTTTCAGACCATCCACAGTGCCCCTGGTGACCTCATCTATCATGCTGGAGAGAGCGTGGACAGCCTTTGCTTCGTCGTGTCAGGATCGCTGGAGGTCATCCAGGACGATGAGGTGGTGGCCATTTTAGGTGAGAGTCTTCAGTTAGAGAATAAGGCTAAGATTGTTAAAAAAATGAAGCTTTAGTCTTTTTAAAGGACAGTGTGACAGTGGGAAGGGAAAACTTGCTTTTAAGCAGGAAGAAACCTGTAGCAGAACCCAGCTCATGAAGGGGCAGCCATCTGCCGCGACCATAGGGGATGAGAGTGGGGAAGACAAAAGACATGCTGTGGAAGCGAGGCAGCATTTAATGGTATCTAAGTAGCCTAGAGCTACTGCAGCATAACTAAGGGAGGATTCATGTTCACCTGATCTAGTCCTAACTTTATGATCTGTCAAAAAGAAAA